CTCGTTTCTGTCCTGTCAAGGTATATCACACTTGACCACACCTCCTCATACTCCCAATCATAACAGGATCTCCAAGAGAAAGCACCATCACATTGTATAAACGAGGCATACTCTTCTTAGAAAGCGTTTATGCCAAAATCATAATGGAGCTATGCTTCCACGGTTGCGGTATGCTTGATAAATCGGTTTATCACACTAGTGCTTTACAACGGTTCTCCGTACAAGAGACAATTCGGAGATGAACCCAATTTACCAGAAGCTAATGGCGTTTGACTGCTTTTGCTTTCTATGGCTTCGACCATACGTCAATCACAAACTTGATAATCGCTTGTCACCGTGTGTGTTTCTAGGATACTTATTAGCTCAGAGTGCATATATATGCTTGGATAAGACCACAGGCCGTATATACACATCTCGACATGTCCAATATGTTGAAAATATCTTCCCATTTGACGTCACTTCCAAAATCTCACTACATCGACCTTGCCACAAGCGCCTATGCTAATTGTTGTTCCGATCACCGTCGTTCCAACCCGGTCACTCGTACTAGCTCAGCTATCGCAACCCCCGTGTTTAGATCTTTTGCCACCATCACCGCTACTGAAATCTCAATCGACTTCGTTGACATCTGAAGTGATAACAACAAATTCCACTCCCTCGATGCCTCCGCCACGTAATCCACAAGAGCCCCATGGGTCTTTCCAATGAAAACACAGACCCAACTTCACCAACTGCATACTCAAGCCCAACGCCCCAAAGCCCGACAACTAACATTCCTACTACAAGCCCATCGTCTACCTCCTCCCGCTCACAATCCTCAACTCCTCCGCCTCACTCGCCGGTCCCTAATCTAACACCACCACCTCCAGTGTTACCACAAAAACAAAAACAACCACCTCGACCTAGATTTCCCAAAACTACCCTGAAACCACCACCGCCACCTTCAGAAAATGACCACTAAATGCATATAAGGGAAAAGAATCAGATTCTTAAACCCAATCTTAAATACGCCAACACCATCAATACCTCCAGACCAAAAGTCCTAAAACATTTGCTCAAGCATCGGGGGATCCGAATTGGTGCAATGCTATGTGTGATGAAATCAATTCACAGATCCAAAATGGCACATATGAGGTCGTCCCTCCAAAAACTGCTCAAAATATTATTGGATGTAAGTAGATTTTCACTCTGAAATATTTACTTGATGGCTCCCTTAGCATGTATAAGACAAGGTTAGTGGCTCGCGGATTTCATTAACAATGGCAAGACTTCACCGATATGTTCAATTTGGTGATCAAATCCACCCGTACAATCTGTCTTTCATGTTGTTGTCAGTAAGTCCTGCGGTATACGCCAAATCGATGTGAACAATGCGTTTCTTCAAGGGTGCTTACACGATGAAGACTATGTGGCCCAACCACCGGGTTTTGTTGATCAAGATTGTCCCCACTACGTTTGTCGTCTCAAGAATGCCATATATGGCCTTCAGCAAGCATCAAGGCAGAAATATTGTCTATGTTCTGGTCTATATTGATGATATGACCATCACAGGGAGCAACACCGATCTCGTAAATCACTTCATCTCATCTGTTGCTGCTCAATTTTCACTCAAAGATTTGGGGGAGTTGAAGTATTTCTTGAGTATAGAGACTACACACACTTCTGATCGACTTCATCTAATGCAGCATGAATACATTAGTGATCTATTTACTAAAACCAGGATGCGTGCAGAAAACCAGTATCATCACCTATGACACCTACTTTGAGACTCTCACTCCACTCTGGGACTGAGTTAGAAGATCCCATGGATTATCGAATGGTTCTGGAAAATCTTCAATATATATTGTTCACAGGGCCAAACATTGCATTTGCGGTTAGTCGTCTCTCGCAGTTTGTGCACAAACCCACAAATGAACACTGGAACTCTATGAAACGCATTGCTCTTATGGTATATTCATCCGAGCTCATATACCGGTGACACTCCATAGTTTCTCTGATGCCGACTGGCTAGGGACACATATGATTTTTGTTTCAAAAAATGCCTATGTGACATATCTCGGGGGAACTCCCATCTCATGGTCGTTGAAGAAGCAAAACAGGGTCACACGATCATCCACTAAGGCTGAGTATCGAACGGTTGCAAATACGACGTCTGAGGTACGATGGATCTTATCTCTCCTCACAGAATTTGGCATCGTCTTGTCAACTCCACGCGTTATCTATTGTGACAACATAGGCACCACTCATTATCAGCGAATCAAGTTTTTCATTGCAGAATGAACACTTGACCTTTAATTACCATTTTATTCGAGAGAATGTCTAAACTAAGACACTTTGAGTTGCTCATGTGTCCACGTAAAATCAACTGGCAGATTCACTCACAAAAAATCTATCTTATTCACGGTTTCAGAAGATCATTACCAAGCTTGAAATTACAATGATACCTCCAACTTAAAGAGGCGTATAGTAATATGTATAACAAAAGGACTATATTATTCATTAGCATTAACCTAAGTATTCTTGTATCTACTGTTTATACTGTAATTATTATCATCTAATACACATCATTCACCATCTAATCCTATAGAAAATAGCAGACTATAACTTAAATTTCTGCAAAGTCTTCCATATATTTGTAATGTCTACCAAATATTCGTATAATCAACCAAATGAATGATAGATTAGTAGATTGAAATATCAATTTACCAATAAATTTGACAGACTTTGTAAAATTTACCAAATGCACGTAGAGTCTATCAAATATCTATAGAGTGCCAAATACCAAATATCAGCAGTATATGTTAAAAATCAGTATAGCCTACCAATTATCGATATAATCTACCAACTATCAATATAGTCTACCAAATAAATGGTATACCAGCAGATTGAAATATAAATTCATCAATAAATTTCACAAATTTTGTAAAATCTTATAAATTCATACAAAGTCTCACAAAATAATATTACATTAGTATTTTTGCTCCGTGCTATGCTCATGCATTGATATTTAATTAAAAACAGTTATATAAATCTATATAAAATTAATAAAAGATAATGTTTAATCAATATTTATTTAGAAGTTTTTTTGGTCATTACTAATTAAAACCCCCCAAAGCAACCATCCATACAAAAGAAGCACAAAAGACCCAGTATATCAAAGAAGATGAAAATAAAAACACATGTACTCTAAATTACTAACTAGAAAGATCTTGATCGTTTTACTGATTTCAACAGATCTGAGGTGCTACCGAATATCGATATCCGAGATCTCCTCCGGCAAATGCAAAAAAATTAAAGCACCGTTAAGAGAGATAAGATCTTTAAACTTACGTTTGTACCTAAAATTAACGCTTTCCAAAAAAAACCAGAGGAAGATAACTGGATCAGATTTGATTCATCGGAAATAATTTCATATGATTAAATCTTTGTATTCTTCTAAAAATTGTCAAAACATGACCAGAAATTTGACGGACCAAAAACTCTAAATCTTCATACCACAATCTAAACAGCGTAATCTTAAATTTATTTGAAAATGTAATAAGTAAAAAAATTAAAAAAATAAATCTTAAATTTATTTGAAAGTTTAATAAGTAAAAAAATTAAAAAATAAATGTTTACTTTGCAAATTGACCTCCACCGCTTTCTTGTTAGCTTTTCCAAATCTAGATAGATCACACAAAACAAAAAACAAATTCAATTCCATCTCAATATCTTTGATCTACACATGTCATCACCAATAAACTAAACCTTACAATTAGACAAAACCTGAAGGCATAATAAAATAAATGCAGTTTGAGTCTCCAAGGAAAACATCTAATCATATACCTATCTTGCTAATGTTGCCTCTGATGACTAATACTGAAACAAAATTTCAAATTATAGATCTATGAAGTTACGGTAATAAATTTAAAAACAAAAAAAAGTCTAGAAATTGAAAAAAGCAACTGTTTTTTTCTTTGCAGATAGTTAAACAGTTTTGATATATATGATGGGGTATATATGATATGTGTACTGAAAATGGATAGTTAAATTAAAGATAGAGAGTAGTTTTATTCAGAAAAAGCGTGAATTTTTTCAAAAAAATTTAGTTTATCAAAAATTATTTTTGATAAAGAAAAAAAAATAATCTGAAAATAAAATAAATATGTGTCAAACTGACAATTACCAGTTGACTTATATTTTATGTATAAAGATTATATATTATAGATTCGTTCCAAATATCCGCAAAATTTATTAAATATCTACAGAATCTACCACAAATTAATTAATTATTATTGAAAATAATATTATTTAAATTTTCTAAATCTATACTATAAAAGATGGCAACTCTCTCCAGTTGAATGTCACCTCATCATTTTGGTTTAATGTGAAAATGACATGTGTCATTTTTTAAATTTAATGATATAAATTATATAAAATACAGATAATGTATAAATTAATGTATCATTAATCATAATACTAAAAGAATATGAAAAATATAAAGTATTAGATAATATATTTTAACAACATTATAAAGTTAATATCCAAAAAAAATTATTGAATATATATTTTTTGGTAGTTTTTAAAATCATTAAAACAATTTATATTTCTTATTTCTTATTAATATCATAAGTTATTACTATAAAAACAATTATACAAATATAAAATAATAACTATTTGATATTTTGAACTTTAAAAAGTTAGAAGAAAAATTTATACAATATTTTAATAAATTTTTAAACAATTTCTTTATAAACTAATAATTATTTGATAATTTATTTTATTCAAACTTGTTCTATTAATAATTTTTAAATTATTAAGATATCAAAGTATAAATTAGAATTATAAATTAATTATTTAAGTTAATAAAATATAATATATAATATATAAAATATAAAATCGATTTAACATCAATTTTTTACAAAACTAAAAACTTGTGCATATATGTGGATACTCTCTTAGTCTTAATAAAATATCTTGGCTATTTCCAATATTTTAGGTTATTGTAGCCAATCATCCAAAAAATAAACTCCAAATAAATAAGGCGCCAACAACATAAACCCTAGCCAACAAAAACCCCTCTTCACACAGAACGGAGAGAAACAGAAAGTGTCGGCTTTGACGATTTTCTTTTATTATTTTGATCAAATTCAAAGGCTTTCTGGGGTGGGTTGCACCGTTTATCTTCTTTTAATCCCAAAATAATAACCGATTTGATAAAAATAAAAAAATAGTTTAACTTTTTCTCGACGAAGTTTGGTGTTGATGACAGATTTCGTGTGTTTGCAGGAGTTGAGGTGGAGCCAGGAAAGCCTTTCACTCTTAAGGCTACCGAATTTAGAAGACTTCACCTCTCCCAGGTCTTTAATCTCAATTTCTACCCTAAATTTTTCAGATTTCGAAAGTTAGGTCGCTTTGTTTTCTCTGTTTGGTTAAGTTTCTTATGTCTGCTCTTTATTTGGGCGTATAAGCTTGAAAGTTGTGGGCTTTTTGTTACTTGACTGTTTTTGTTTTTCTCTCTGTTTGGTTGATTTCTTATGCCTGCTCTTGATTTGGGCGTGTTTAAGCAATCTTAGAAGTTTACATATTCTTGAAGAAGTTTCGTTTTTGTGGTTTATTTGGCTGATGTTTGATTCTTTTGTGGGTATAGGCGACATTGGTGCTTGGTAATGCAACAACTAGAAGCATTCATCAGTGTAACGTTGGGAACAAAAGTACACTCGTCTTATGTATCTTGTCTCCTGAAAAGGCCGATTCTTGCCAATTGAATGTTGAGTTTTCGTTTAGTTTAATTCTCTGTACGAGTGTCTTTCGGTGGATAAATCAAAGCAGTAACTCTGCATTTAATGATAATCTTATCTTCTTTCCAGTATATGTTAAGGAGATGGCAGCTAAAACAAAGGGCAAGAAAACAAATGGAAAAGATGGAAGAGAAAGGAAGAAGCTTCATGTCTCTGAATCAGATTCTGATGAAACTTTAGCTAGAGCTGATGACTTCTCACACTTGGCATTAGGTTCGCCAGTCGAACTTCTTGCCTTTGATCTTGTAACCCTTGGAGGCAAAGGCAAAGGCAAAGGCAAAGCCGCAAAGGAAAGACCTTTCGGAGTCGTCATTCGGTAGAAGTAGAGAATCCTTTCCCTTCGAGGGTTATGAGGTCAAAGGCAAGAAGTTACACTTCAGAAAATGGCGAGTCTAATGCAAAGTGTGACAAGTCATCAAAAGCAAACACTCAAACCCACAAGACTCTGAATAAAAGGTAAGAAAGTTTCACCCAGTATAGCCTGGCGTTAGTATTGGTATCTTTGACGCTTCTTTTAACCTTTTTATAAACCTAATATGTTTCATATGCCAAGGAGGATAAACCTGAACTCTTCAGTTGGTGTAATTGTTATTACTTCCTCATTGGTATTTACTGTTTTATGATGGCGAGTAAAAATTCCCTGATTTAAACTTCCATTAACATGACAGGAAGATCGAATCATCAAGTGATGTATTGCCCTCTCAGAATGGTGTCGCAACTCCATCAAAGAAGATGAGGAAAGGAGATAGAGCAGATAAAAACTACAGAGAGCAAGAAACAAGTTGAGACGTGAGTCATATCTTACATTTTAAGGTAGAAATAAAATATTATAGTTCAATCTTGATACTGACTCAGTTCCATGGGAATCGTTGGAATTCTCATGTTAACTATATACTTGCAAGTTAACATGAGAAGGTTATAACTCAAAAACTCTCCTGATTATTCCTTTATGGTTGCAACATTGAGTCATAAGTGTGTATATATACAGTTCAAGTTGAATGTGAGTTTTGTGATGGCTCTATTGATTGAGTTCGTTTCTGATTCTCTCTTCCTCTCTACTATCATATGTATGTATTTTGGTTTGGTATGGTTCTGTGTTTTAAGGATTTCTCGGTTTTATTAAATGTGAAACCATATAAAAAATCAAGTGCAATTCGGTTAGTTTGGTTTCGTTCTTTTTGTTCCGGTTTATCCCATGATTTTTAAAATGGAAATTATTAATCATACCGCAAATTAGCAAAACATGAACAGCTACATATTTACCCTAACAAAAAACTTGATTGAAAATTAAAATTGTAACCACATGAGTCCCCTCCCCCAAATAATTTTTTCGGTTAAACCATAACTAAACCACATTTATTTTGGTTTGATTTGGTTAACTTTTCGGATTAAAGATCTTGTTCTTCAACCTTTAAAGTCTTAAACCCCTCCGCAAGATTCTTAGACAAAAATGCCATAATTTTCTCGGGAAAATTTACAGAATCCGCAGAAAGTGCAATGGCGGAATCTTCGAGTCTCATGTTAAAAGCCACAGAACTTTTCGCGACTCCATGCCACGAAGCGTTAGAGCACGTTCTCTCTCAACTCTGTCTGGGTCAAGAAACCACCGAATTCAAGGCGGCGCGTGCTCTCTACAACTACTGCTCCTCTAATCTCGCAGATTCCATAGCGATAAAGCTTCTTAAGGTGTATCGATTCTCTTCCAATGGCGTCGTCAGATTCCAATCGCTCTTTCTCCTTTCTGAACTCCTCTCCGAACTCAGAAACCGGAACTTCGAACTCCCTGGCGACGCACTCGACGAGATCAAGCCCCTTCTGCTTTCATGCTTGACGATGCAAGAAACGGATGAATCTGAAATCGTAATCTTCAGACGAATCGTTGCTTTCGTAACCTACAATGTTATGATCTTAGATGATGGCCGATGGGACGAGCTCAGTGATTGCATCTTCGAATTCGCGGATATCGATCCAATAAAGGCTTTCCATGTCTTCGTCGATTTGCCACCAGTCTACGCGAATTTCATCTACAGGTTTATGCACATGATCCTGGAGAAAGCAGAGAAGGTTTTGCTTAATCCTGAGCAAGATCGAGCCGGAGATTGGAGCTTGGCTTTAGAAACTCTTGTGAAATTGGGGATTCAGCTTTTGGATTCAGAGTTGAGAATTGATGTGGTAAAGAATGTTCTTGCTGTTCTTGTGAAGTCAGCGAGTGAGCTAGTGGAGAAAGGAATGGAACAGTTTCTGCTAAGAGGGCTTGAAGGTCTCGAGAGGTTTCTTGTACGAGACAAGGATTTGTTTAACTACAATAAAGAGCAATGCGATTTTGTTTCGGGCTTCATGTTCAAGATCAGAGAACTCGGAGAACACACCAAGGACGCTGCGAAGAAGATCAATCGCTTGGTTAAGTCTCTTCACAATCCAGTCACAATACTACAACAGCCACAGGGACAGCCACAGGAACAGCCACAAGAACAAAGAGTAGTATCTGATCGTGAACGGTTCAATACTCTAAACAGTTTATCGCCACTTGAAATCTTAAGAATCTTTGAGTCAAATGATCAGGAAGAGAGTTTCAGAGATATGGCGATCAGAAGGCTAAACCTTTTGCTCTCTGAACACACTTCTAAGGATGTGGAGATAGAGATCTCAGTGATAAGAGAGCTTCAGCCATTGCTCATCTCTTGCCTTTCGAAAGAAGGAATCTCCGAGAGCATGTTCAAAGTCCTTGGTGAGGTTGTGTACCACGTTGCCTATGAAATGATGAACTTACAGGTCGAGGTATGGTACGGTCTAAGAGACTACCTCGTATCAAAAAGCCAAACAGAGTTCGAGAGAGCGGTTTATATCTTCCAGTGTTTAACAATTTGGCTTGAAGAGGACAAGTTTGTGGTTCCTGTGATGGAGAGTCTTCTCCCTGAGATAACCGCAAGGCTAAACCCACCGACAGAGGTTTTGGTGGATAACAGTTGCTGGGTCTTGGCGTTTGTGGGCGCCTTCTGTGCTATCATTCACATGTTGGAGATCACAAGCCGCGCTGAATCAGTCAAGGAGATTGCAGATAAGATAATAGATTCGGTGATAAAGCTTGTCGAAAGAGGCATGGAGGTTGGTCTTGTGAGGAGAGGTTTCAGAGATGTTGAAAGCATTGTGAAGAAACATGACGGATGGTTCGCTAACAAGGAATACGAATTCGTTAAGGGTCTGGTTCAGAGACTTTATGAGATCAAAGGAATGACAATGGAAAGCAAGATGGTGTTGTGGAGAATAAATTTGCTTGTGGACAGAGGAGTTGCTGAGTTTGCTAAACAGATCCCATAGAATGAGTGTGATTTTATGAACCAACCTGAAGCTGCTTAGGAGTTTGTATAATCTGAAACTCTGCAGAATCTAGTTTTTTGATGGTTAGTCTGAAATTGTATAGAAAGCTTAGGAGTTTGTATAATCCGAAACTCTACAGAATCTAGTTTTTGATGGTTAGTCTGAAATTGTATAGAAAGCTTAGGAGTTGTGTAAATGTGTAAGTACATTTACCTTTGAAAAGGATATAAGGTACATTTTGAAGAGGAGAGAATAGGTACATTTTGATGATTGAATTAAAAACGATATAATCTAGTAAACCATGGTTAAGTGAAAATTCTAGGTTTTTCTGAAATGGACATAGCAAATGAGTTTTACTAGCACTGTATTGTTATTACCGACAGCTGAGTAATATATAAATGAAATCATTATACTATCCACTTTTTGGACTATTTATTTTGTTAATTATTATATTTTTGAAATACTGGTTATTGTTATAAATCTATACTATTAAAAGAGAATCATTCTTAATAAATGTTCAAAAACTATCATTGATATTTACAATATATACTATTGCATTTACTAGATTATTTCATTAACTCATTAAGAGTAATTTAGTCATATCATTAAACTGTTAATATATATATTTAATTAAATTAAATTATATTAGTTTGTTAACAGATATTACTAATAAATTATATCTGATACTATTAAAATTCAAATTAAATTAATTTTAAAATTATTTCAAAATCTTTCATAATATCTTAACATAATTACCATATATAAATGCCATGAATAACTAATATAATTATATATATTATATTATAAATTAAATATATATATAATATTATAATCAATTTCTTCCCTATACTATTAAAAGTTACTATGGTATTTATTAAATATGGCAATTTATAGTCAATGATGAATATGTAATTATTATTTTTTAGTTACATATATACATACTATGAAAAAATATTATGTAAATAATTTTTTTCTGGTTTGTTAATGATTTTTTTTTGCGGAAAATCATGGGTTTGCGGATTTGACAAACACAATTTTGTAGATTTTGTTTTTACAAGTTTTAGCGGGTTTTATAAGTTTTAGCGAAAAATATAATTCTACGAGAAAATGCCTTTTTGACAAGAAATGTGCTTTTGTAGATTTAGCTGAAACACATGATTTTAGAAATTTGGTCGTAAATCATGATATTTCAGATTTTACGGAGGTTACGGGAAAACACGGATTTGCAGAATGCGAATAGCACAATTTTGCAGATTTTATGGATTTTACAAGTTTTAGCAGAAAAATGTAGTCATACGGGAAAATACGGATTTGTGAGTTTGGAAACTCGATTAGCAGGTTTGGTAGAAACACATGAGTTTAGAAGTTTGATCGTAAAACATATTTTACGGGTTTTACAATTTTACGGAAAACACGGATTTGTGGATTTGACGGGAAACGTGATTTTGCGAATTTTACGAAGTATACATGTTTTGGCGGGTATTATAGGTTTTGATGGAAAATGTGGTTTTGTGGATTTTATTAAAAATGCAGGTTTGCGGGTTTGATGAGAAACGCAATTTTGCAGGCTTGACAAAAACACGTAATTTTAGAAATTTGGTCATAAAATACGGTTTTATGATGTTGGGGGAAAACATAATTTTTGGTTTTGTTAAAAAATTTGGGTTTACAGTTTTGGCAGAAAAATACGATTTGATGGAAAATGTTATTTTACAGTTTCTACGGGAATTTTTGGTTTTTGTACAACAACGTGATTTTAGTATTTTGCAGAAAAATGCAGCTTTTTATTTCGTTAGAAAACTCTAATTTTATAGTTTTGACAAAGAAAAAACTTGATTTTGTAGTTTAAATTAAAAGTTGTTTTGATCTTTTAATTTTTGAGATTCAAATGCTGCATCCAAACTCTATTTTTTTAGCATTTTAAATATCCAAATTTTGAGATATTAGAGATTTTATATCTCAATACAACATTCATATACTGATTTAAAAATATTTAAAAAAATAATATTTGAGCATTTACATTCAAATAAGTATTTGAATGTAAAAACGAACAAAGCTTAAGTTAATTATTTTTGAAATCTTAATTACAAACAAATAAAATCTCTCTTGCATTCCAAAACATAACATTTGAAATATTTGTTACAAAATTTAACAGAAAATCTGCTAATCATATTTTTTATAAAATCAAGTTTAAATAATTTTAAGAACGTAAGAGTATAGTTTATATAATCCTAAATAATTTTAAGAACATGAAACCATAATGTAAAAATAATTTATATAATCTAATAAAAAAATTCTGTTGGGTCATAATTTTGGACTAGATTATATAAGCTTATTTTTTTTGAACAAAAAATTAATATAAATCGATTTTTTGCTATGGTCTAAAAATATTTTATGAAAAGAAACACGCGCAAATGCGTAGATCCAAAATCTAGTTATTTAATTAAAAAGGGATAAAAAAGTAACAAATAAGAAGAGAGAGAGGGAAAGACGTGAGTGAGATAGAAAAGGAAAGGAATGAGTGAATTTATTCACTTCTGTCACATGTCATATGCTTTACAATGTTACTCTATTCATAGGGGAAAATAGCTTGGTAAGCAAGCTATATAATCAATAAAAACAAAATCACTTACAAGTTTATCTAATAAGCTTTATAATAGATAATCACATGTGAAGATAAAACATTATCTTTTAACATTCTCCTTTGATTATTTATTTTAATAATGTATTATGTATTGCTTCGTTAAAAACTTTATCATGAAAAAACCCGTTTGGGATAAAAACCATGATTAGGGAAAAGAGTGCAGTAATGCTTCCTCTGGAAATGATGGATATAATTTTTTCTTCATAGATCTCGGAGATGATGTATTCCGATGCTATGAACATGTTTTCTGAATGTTGTAGTGGGAAGTGCCTTTGTATATAGATCAGCTGCATTATCGCATGAACGAACATATTGAATGTCCACTTCTTGATTTTTCTCGATTTCTTTTGTGTAAGAGAAAAATCTTGGAGAGATATGTTTCGTTCGATCACTTTTGATATAACCTTCCTTTACTTGAGCAACACACAGAGCATTATCTTCAAACACTTTTGTTGGCTCTTTCTTTGTTTCTATTCCGCTTGCATCTTGTATATGATGAATGATTGATCTGAGCCATACACATTCTCTACAAGCTTCATATAATGCAATAGTCTCTGCATCTGCAAAACTAACCATACCAAACTCGGGGTTTCTAGAATAAAATAAACCAAATTCAATGGTACCTTGTAAATAACGGAATATATGTTTTATTCCGTTCCAATGTTGGTGTGTAGGAGATGAGGTATCTTGCAAGTAAATTAGTAGCAAAAGCTATATCAAGTATAGTACAATTGCAAGATACATAAACCCACCGATAGCGCTCGTATAAGGTACTTCAAAACCTAAAATTTCTTCGCTATCCTCACATGGACGAAATGGATCTTTATCAACATCGAGCGATCTATTGACCATCGGAGTACTCACAAGAGTCACTTTATCCATACTAAAGCGTTTCAAGATCCTTTTTCATATAATTTGATTGATGCACACATATACCATCTTGGAAATACTCTATCTGGAGCCCAAGACAAAACTTTGTATTTTCAAGTTCTTTCATTTTGAACTCTTCTTTCATATGAGTTCTTGCATTATCCATCTCTTTTTGAGTTCCGATTATATTCAGGTCATCAACATAAACAGCAATGATCACAAATCTCGATGTGGATTTCTTAATAAGCACACAAGGGCATATCGCATTGTTGACGTAACCTTTATTCAACAAATATTCACTTAAGCGATTATACCACATGCGTCCAAATTGTTTTAATCCGTAAAGTGATCGCTGTAACTTGATCACACACATCTCTTTAGATGTTGATCTTAATGCTTCCAGCATTTTCAATCCTTCAGGGATTTTCATATATATATATATATATATATATATCATTCTCAAATGATCCATATAGATATGCTGTCACAATATCCATCAGATACATATCTAGATTCTTGGATGCTGCTAGACTCATTAAGAATTTGAATGTTATTGCATGCATTACCGGGGAATATATTTCCTCATAATCAATTCCTGGTCTTTGAGAAAAAACCTTGAGCCACAAGCCTCGCTTTATACCTCGTGACCTCATTTTTCTCATTTCTGTTTCTTACAAACACCCATTTGTATATGACAGGCATTACATGCTCTGGTGTTGTGACAATAGGTCCAAAAATTTTTCTTTTATCCAGGGAGAATAATTTTCAATGGCCATTTTCCATTTCTCCCAATCATGTCTTTTCAGACATTCTGATATGGACCTTGGATCTGGATCATCGCTTTCAAGCTCTTTATATACAGAAAATGAGAATATTCCATCAATATCTTTTATTTTATCTCTGATCCATAATTTTCCATTTTGGACGTATTTGATGGAAATCTCATATTTTTCTGTTTTTCACAAATGTCTTCAGTACATTTTTCTTTAAATGGTTCTTCCGGAACCTTTTTTACTTTGTTTTCCCATATTTTTTTTCTTTCGGGAAATTTTATCTTTAGAACCCATCGGTATCACCCTCTTTAACTGAACCCTAGGTTCATTTGATATGTTCCCATCAATGTGTTATTCAGGAACACTAATTCTGGATGAAACATTTGCTGCAGGATATATGACTTTGTCACCCTCTTTGTATCTGTGAACGCATCTGGTAACTGGTTTGCCATATTTTGCATATGAACAATTTTCTGAACTTCCATCTCACGTTGATTGGCAAGATGATCAAGATAAGCCGAAGATTTTGTATACCAAGTGTTATCTTTTGGTGATTCTCTCAATCCTCTCCATAACGCGGGGAATTCATCTTCATTAAAATGGTAATCGGCCAAATGTGCCGTAAACATATCACCAGTTACTGGTTCAAGATACCTGATTATACTTGGTGACGTATACCCGATGTATATTCCCAATCTTCTTTGTGGTCC